GCCAGGGCCCCCCGCGGGGCCAGGGGGCGCCGGGCTCCCGCCTCAGTCCTCTAATAAAGAGGTCACCGCCCACAGCTACGCCCCTGGGAAGCGGGGGGCAGGGTTGTGCTCGGTTCTCGCTAACCCCAAGAGGGGGCGGGGTGGGTTTCGAGGGGGGCGGCCTGCGCTGGAAGGCGAGCGGCGGGTGGCTCCCAACGGGGCGTAGCCGACGGCACCTGTGTCTGGCCCCCAGGGGCGCCCGGCACGGGGCGGGACAGCAGAGGACACAGGAGAGGCCTCAGTCGCCTCGCCGCGGCCGCCGAGGACCCGCGTCTGCTGCCTCCATCCCGCAGACCCCCGTGACGCCCGGGGGGGCCCAAGGGGCACAGGTCAGGACGCAGCTCCTGCGCGGGGCCAGGACGGGCGGCCAGCAGCTGAGGTCCTGAAGCAGCAGCAACGGTTCCGGCCGTCGCTTTAAGCCTTTGAGCCCTGTGCTGGGCACTGTCCAGTCAGCTCGTTCCACGTCAGAGACTTAAAGTACGAATCACCTCAGGGCCGATCCCCGCCCAGAGGGGACCCCCCAGGGCGCGGCAGCCCCCTCCTGTCTCCCCGGTGCTCCCCTCGGCAGTGGAGCGTGGTCCTTTCACCCCCCTGCCCCTCTGGCCTGCCCCCCAGTTCTGTCTGCACCAATAAGTACATCTTGAAAAAATGCTTTAGGAAACAGAAACCGGAACAACAGCACAGAGCACGTGTCCTCCGTGGGGCGTCTCCCTCCAGGGGAGAAAGGCGCTCACCAGTCCAGGAGCATGTACGTGGGCTCTGGGGTGCAGGGGTGCGTAGGAGCCTGCCGGCATACACGTGGCTTCGGGGTTCCAGAAGGAGGACTGTGGGGAGTCGGAGCTCCTGAGGCAGAGGCAGCCATGAAGGCGATGGAGGAGCACGGCCTGGCACGCTCCGGACTTCACGCACGCGCACGGCGAGGTGCAGAGAGAAGCCTCGGACTTTCTTGGTGCAACCAGACAGGAAAAAGTTGAGCTACCGCTGGGTCCCAGTGACCCAGCATCTCTCGCTCACACCGCAAGGCCGTGTGATTGTCTCCAGGACAATGTTTCAAGTGAGGACAGGGAGATTCCAGCCCAGACGTAGGGCTGGAGCCGAGGTTCGCGTCTCCGCCTCGAGGGAGGGAATCACACGCGCACACGGGCCTCTTGGCTCCCGGGTGCAGGTCGGACCTGGCCCTGACCTCACAGGATTCCTGGGGAATCTCGGTAGGTGCGTCAGGAGCTTCCGAGACAGACAAGCGCATCAAGCCGTCCTTGCATTCCGCACAGAAGGAGGCACGGAAGAAAAGCTCAGCCCTGGCGGCAACGTGGGGTCTTTCTCGTGCTGGGTTCATGTAGAACACGTTTATTTGTTCAACACACAGAACGAACAGTGAGAATTTCAACTGTTGGAACCTTTCAAGATCCACCTTTCACCTTAGGAGAGGTTCGCGCCGATATAAGACAATATGAGTCACGCGGCATTGTAACAAGTGCGCAGCAATGTAACAAGTGCGCACGAATATAAACAATATAAAACAAGTGAGCGCGAATATAAGACGAATGTAAGACAATATAAGACGCGACCGCAGTAATGGAACAACTGTGCAGCAACGCAACAAGTGCACTCCAATATAGGACTATAAAACAAGTGAGCACTCGGATGTAAGACAATGTAAGACGCAGTAATGTAACAAGTGCACAGAGCAATGTAACAGGCACCTGCAACAATGTAACAGGCAAACTGCAACAATATAACAGGCATCTGCAACAATGTAACAAGTGTGCAGAACAATGGAACAAGCGCCTGCAACAATGTAACAAGCACCTGCAGCAATGTAAGAAGCACCTGCAACAATGTAACAGGCGCCCACTTTCCCTGCAGCAATGTAACAGGCGCCCACTTTCCGCTCTACACTAACTTGGCTGCTTCACCCCCGCCAGGCGCAGACCCTGGCTCAAAGGGGTGGTGTAACAGCAGCCTCGAAAACAGCCTATTGTCTAGTGGCCGTTATTGATCAGGGGAGCCGCACTGCTTCTTAACAAACACTTTGCCCCCTTCGTCAGGCATGGAGTCGCCTCCCTGCTACCGCGGAGCGCCGAATACCACATTGGCGGACAGAAAGGACCTAGAGGAAAGACGGGAGCACCTGGCACTTCGTGGGCTTGAGCCCGTGTCAGTAACTCTGCTGCAAGCCACAAGAGGTTGTAAGCCAAGCTTTCCCTCGGGGCGGAAATGGCCAGCGAGTAGCTCACGAGGACGACAGACACTCGGGGGGAGAAACCGGCAGGTCGTGGGCTCCCTCCTGGGCTTCCTCAGCCCCAGGAGGGCGCCCGCACACACGAGGCCCGCAGGGGCAGGCGGCAGGCCGGCCAGGTGACCCAAGGTCGCCCTGAAACGACCCGGGGACACGAACAAGCTGGCGGGTGCTTACGCGCGTACCCCGTTCTCACTTGTGGCCACAAAACACAGGGATGAAACGCCTTTACCTGCTTTCTGTGTGGGGACCACAAGCACAGCACTGTAATAAAACGCCTACGACACGGAAAGGTCAGAATGGGCTTCCTGACGCGCCGACTGTGGCTCCCACAGTGAAGCCAATTTCTTTTAACCACTGGAAAGCCACACTTACCAAACGCCACGAGGTTAGCACCTGCAACAGAAGACACGGGAACGTGTGTTAGCATCCTGGGCCTCGCGCACGCCTGCACCCCCCCCATGCCCACACGCGCCCCCGGGGCCCGGCGGCTGGCGGACGCCGCTCGGGGCTCCCACGGGTGCCCGGAGCCCCTCGCTGAAAGACGGGGCGGTCGCGGCACGTTAGCGACTTCGTGCAGAAACACACAGGCCCGCGCTGACCGCCCCGGGCGGTGGACACCGTCAAGAGAAAACGCAGCAAAACGCTGCAGCCGGGGGGACCCACCGGGCCGGGGGGGGGGCAGAACCCGGCCTGCGGGGGCGGCAGCGCTCGGCGAGATCTGGCAGACCTGCGCCTCACCTGCCCTGCTGTTGACTGTGGGGGCCATTCTGGGGCTCATTCTGGGGCTGCGAATGAAGCTTTGCAAGAACAACTTTAAGTAAACACGCAGCTCCCTTCGGACACAGCTGCTGGTCGCCGGGATCCGCAGCCCGGGACGGTGCGGTCAGGCCTCAGTTTCCCCCAGACTCTGGCCTGTGCGCATCCTGCATGTCCGCCCTCCGGAGAGCGAGTCTGGGGGTGTTTGCAGGGCTGCGTGGGGTGCGGCGTGAGGGGGGGTCCCTGCACTTCTGAACAGACCCGCAAAGGGCCTCCCTGGGGGTGCAGGGGGGTCTCGGCACTAGGAAGCTGCCCCAGCCCCCGCGGCCTGAGTTCTGAGTTCGATCCCCGCCGGGGAGGGTCCCCAGGGGGCGGCAGACCCCTCCTGTCTCCCCGCTGCTCCCCTCAGCAGTGGGTCTCGGTGGATCTAGACAGATCTGCCCCCCGCTCTGCCTCTGGGGAGCCCTCTCACCCCCTGCGCCTCTGGCCTGCACCCCAGTTCTGTGTGCATAAGTAAACCAGCCGTTTAAAAAAAATTAAACAGGGCCTCAAGTGGCTATTTACAGAGCTGAGCGCAGCCTGAGAGCGAAACCTGACCCGGGGCGGGCGGGTTGGCTGCAGGACAGCGAAAAGCTGAGTCAAGTCGGGGTGACTTGGCTGAATCACCTTCTCCTTTTCCAAAGGAAAGAAATGTGTCAATGCCGCTCACACGTAACAGGGGCTCCCCCCGGCCGGGGGGGGGGGGCCCATCCCTTACTGACAGACGCACACAGCTGCCGCTTTCTGTAAGGGGAGCTGGGGCTGTCCCCCCCTGTCCCCACACGGGGCGCAGAGGGCCAGGGTGGCCACCAGGCCACGTGGGTCATGTCCACCAGGTGGCGACATGGACACAGCGGTGCTGGGCCCAGCTGGCGGCAGGGCGTGGTGGGGAGCAGTGGGCCTGGGCTGCAGAATCTGCCCTTGGCCCGCCCAGGGCGGGGCAGAGCCGAATTCCAGAAAGTGCAGAGGACTCAGGGGTCAGTGCAGAACCTGCTCGGCAGCCCCGAGCCAAGCAGGTGAAAGTGAAAGTTCCTCTTTCTTGAGAAGGGGACAAGTCACAGGTTGGGCGTGGGCAGGGTGACTGGCTGTGACCGTTGGGGCTGTCTGGCCGCTGGTGGGGGGGTTGACTGGCCGGTGGGGGTGCCGGACCGCTGGGGCGGGGTCTGACCGGCTGGTGGGCGTCTGACGGGCAGAGCGGGGTAAAGGAACGGTCAGTGACAGCAACTGTCACACTCTTAGTTCTGCACAGCCAGCTGGGCGGTGACAGACGGCTAAGACAGTTACGACATCTGGGTGAAATGTGGCCCTGCCGGTGTGCAACGGCTGGAAGCGCAGCGGTCGGAGGCTGTCCGCAGCCTGCAGGGACCCCGGGCGGCCCGTCCCCCCGGGGCGCCCCTCGGCCGTGGGCTCCGCCCATCGGCCTGCCCCGCCCCCCGCTCTGTCTCGGGGAAGCCTCTCGCGCCCTGCGCCTCTGGCCTGCGCCCCAGTTCTGTGTGCGCCAATAAATAAGTCTTAAAAAACAAACGTGAGCAACTCAGTCCTGCAGCCTGTGGAGAGACCAGCCGGGGCCTCGCAGTCCCGGGGGGTCAGCCCTGGGCTCCCGCCGCTGCCCCAGGGGAGCACGAACCCCCGCGGTCCGCGGCCCTCCCGGCCTCGG